CCCGTAGCCTGGGGGCGGAAGGGACACCCTTTGCCCACTCGGTGCCACGGCCGCATCTGTGACGCCCTGAACCCAGCCGGTTTCCTCCCAGCCCGCCCTCCTCACTCTCTCTCCTGCCCGGTGATGGCGGTCCATGCTTCCGATGCCCAGGCCCTGACTCACCCGTGGCACTCACCCACATTCTGTGTCAGGGAAGCGGAGGGCTCGGCCGGGGCTCCAATGGCCTCCTTGCCCCCCACCTACTCCCATGGCCCCCACCCAGGTCCTGCCCACTACAGCAGCCTCTGGGCCTCACTTCCCAGCCCCAGTTTCACAGTCTGTTCACCCAAAGGGCACATGTGAACCCCTCAGTTAAGGCATGCCCCTCCCTTGCTCAGAGCCCTACTTGGCTCCATGTCACTCAGGTAGAAAGACAAAGTCTTCATCATGGCACATCCGCCTCTACCAGGTCTCCACACAAAAAGAGTCCCATTTTAAATTTACTCAAAATAACCCAAAGTAGGGGGACCAGCAGGTGGCATGGTGGTTAAAGTGCTAGACACTCCCACATGGCTGACCACGGTTCAATGCCTGGACCTGGTGGCTTGCTTTCTCACTTCCCGTCTCTCTCTCTCTCTGTGTGTCTCTCTCTGGTCAAACTAAAATAAATGAACGAATAAATAAAGATTTTTTAAAAAGTATAATCAAAAGTAGGTCAGCTCCGGGAACCAGCAGTTAGCGTAATGGCTATGTCACTGGACTCCCATGTAGTTGACCGCGGTTCACATCCCGGACCCGGTGGCTTAAAACTCAGGCCGGGCACATGTGCGTACGTGCCCAAGATCCCAAGAGGAGAATGGAGGAGAAGTGATTGCGGCGTGACCATCCCCCATGGGGGGTGATTTCTTGCTTTCTGTCTCTATGTCTCTCTCTGTCTGGTGAGCGCACGCACCCTATAGCAAAAATCTCTCCAAAAAAAAAAAAAGTAGGTCAGCTCCATGGCCTAATGGTTCAGAGAGCCGGATCACATGTGGCAGATAGTGTGGTTCAAATCCTGGCCCTGGCAGCCCCATGTGTGTATGTGCCCCACGTCCCAACGGGATGGAGAAGAAAGGATTGCAGCGCCTCTCTGACAAGGACCTGCACCCCCTAGCAGTTTAAATAAATAAATAAAATAAAAATGAAAGCATGGTCCCAAAGAGAGATCTGTATACCCATGTTCACAGTGGCATTATTCACAACTGCCAAAAAATGGGAGCAACCCAAGTTTCCACTGACTGATTAATCGATGAACAAAATGTGGTCTAGGTATACAATGGAGGTCGCCAGAGACTAGGGAAGAGGAAAGCGAGAAGTCTGTTCAATGCACACAAAGATTCAGTTTTGCAAAACGAAGAGTTCTGGAATTGGATGGTAGTGCTGGGTGCACAATATGAATATACTTACTGCCACTGAATTATACGGTTAAAAAATAAGGTTAAGGAGCCAGCAGGTGACATGAGGGTAACGTGCTAGACTCTCACTAAGTATGGTTTGAGTCCCGGACCTGGCAGCTTGAAAATTCACCCTGGGCACATGTGCATGCATGCCCAAAATCCCAGGAGGAGAATGAAGAAGGGATTGTGGTGTGGCCATCCTCCTGGGAGGTGATTTCTCACTTTCACTCTCACTGTATCTGTCACTCTCTGGCGAGCACACATCCCCTATGGTAAAAACCTTAATAATAATAATAATAATGCTAAGGGCCAACAGACAACTTGGAGGTTAAGATGCTGAGTCCCATATGGCCGACTCCATGGTTCAAGTCCTGGACCCAGTGGCCGAGCACCTGTGTTTGCATACCAAAATCCCAAGAGGAGAATGGAGGAGAAGGGATTGTGGCATGGCCGTCCCCCCAGGGGGTAAGTTCTCACCTTCCTCAATGACAAGTATATGTACCGTGTAGCAAAAAAACTAATAATAGTAATTAGGTAAATTTTATGCTATGTTTATTTTACAATAAAAAATTGATAAACAAAACAAAGAATCCCCCCCTTTTTTGGGGGGAAGACACATGACCACATGGAATAAGGATATTCCCTTCTCCCTTACAGCTAGGTTTGACTCTGTGACTAATTTCTGATGGATGAGAAATACATGAAAGAATGAAGCAACTTCCAAGAAGGGCACGGGAAGAGAGGATCTCTCTCTTTACTCTCTTCTCCTGCTGGTTGGAATACAGACATAAAGGCTGGAGCCAAGCAGGCATTTTGGTCCTTGGGAATGGAAACTGCACTGGACAGTTATAGAGGACCACGAAGGGTTTGTCAAAAAGGAACCTGAGTCTCTAACCACATAGCACCATTCCAGTCCTGGACTACCTTGAATGTGAGTACATGAAACAAGATGTTTGTTCGGGCCCCATTGTTAAGGGAGCTGGATCCCAGATGGCGATCCATGGTTCAAATATTGACCCCAGGAGGTGGAAAAACACACCAGGTATACATGCACGCGTGCCCCATATCCTGACGGTATAGAGAAACGAAGAAGGGATTGTGCTGCAACCAGCCCCACTTGGGGGGCCAGGGTGCTTTCTCCCTGTCTCCCTCTCTCTGTCTCTCTCTGGTGAGCACAAGCACTCGCTGGCAACTGAAAAACAAACAAACAAAAAAACTTCATTCTCTGCTATCACAACACCATCAACACAGGTTTCTGTGACCAAGTGTGTTCGGGGGTTCTCCCCAACAGTAAGCAATTATTTCTGCAGCAGACAGCAGCTGGCATCCTCGTTCCATTCCATTCTGATGCTGTCCACCTGCCACAGCATCAGAGCCCACCCGCTGAGGACTCAACTCCCAACCCCTCCCCCCATTTCAGATGCCAGCTGAAAGCCCCAGGCTGTGTTACCTGTGCGTCTGATCTACAGGCTAGAAACCAGGGTTCCCATGGCCCCCTCCCTCCTCAGGTTTGATTCGTTTGCTAGAGCAGCCTGCAGAACTCAGGGAAGCCCGTTTATTGTAGAGGACACTGCGAAGGGTATAGATGGAGAGACGCTCAGGGCAAGGCACGTGGGAAGCGGTGGCATGTCCATGCCCACTCCAGGTGTGCCACTCTCCAGGATCTTCCACATGTTCAACTTTCCAAAGCCCTCCGAACCCTGTCCTCTGGGAATCTTTAAGAAGACTTCATGCGTGGAATAGCAGATGGTGTGGTGGTTAAGGTGCTGGATTCTCAAATGGCTGGCCTTGGTTTGAGTCCTAGACCTGCCGACTTGCTTTCTGACTTTCCCTCTTTCTCTCTCTCACTCTGGTGCCCTATAGCAAATTTAAAAAATGGGGGGGCAGCAGCTGGTATAAATGCTATGTTGCTGGACTCCCATGTAGTCAACCATGGTTCGAGTCCCGGACCCAGTGGCTTAAACTCACGCCTGCTGCGTGTGCGTGTGTGTCCAAGATCCCCCCGGGAGGAAAATGGAGGAGAAGGGATGGTGGCATGGCCACCCCCCCCGGGGGGGGGGTGATTTCTCACTTTCTGTTGCTCTGTCTCTGTCTTTTATATAATTTAGTAAAAAAATAATTTTTTTGAGATTTTTATTTTTTGTTACAGGGTGTGTGCACTCTCCAGGGAGACAGAGAGAGACAGAGAGACAGAAAGCGAAAAATCACCCCCCAAGGGGGACAGCCACACCGCAATCCTGTCTCCATTCTCCTCTCGGGATCATGGGCATGCACGCACACGTGCCCGTTGTGAGTTTAAGCCACCGGGTCTGGGGCTCAAACCGTGGTCAACTACACGGGAGCCCAGCGACATAGCCATTATGCTAACTGCTGGTCCCCCCCAAAAAATAATTTTAATAAAAAAAATAAATAAAATTAAATAAGTAGTTTAAAAAAATAATTTATTGCATAGGCATGAAATGTCAACAGGCTGGGTGGGAAAAACCAGCAAGGCCTATCCAGACTCTTGGTATCTTGTGCACAAGGAAAGGAAAGGAAGAGGAAATAAAAGAGAAGAAAAAAGAACAAAGTAAAGCAAGGCAGGGAAGAGTAGTTTCTATGACCTACCTTGGGCTAGTTTCCATGGCCTGTCTTGGGGAGAAAAAGGGCCTTGTTTGGGGAACCAGCAGTTAGCGTAATGGCTATGTCGCTGGACTCCCACATAGTCGACTGCGGTTTGCGTCCTGGACCTGGTGGCTTAAAATTCACGCTGGGCGCTTGTGTGTGCATGCCCAAGATCCCGAGAGGAGAATGGAGGAGAAGAGACTGTGGCATGGCCATCCCCCTGGGGGGGAGGTGATTTCTCATTTTCTGTCTGTCCTTTTCTCTCTGGTGATCGCATGTGCCCTATAGCAAAAATTATCTAAAACACAATTAAAGGAGGGCAGGAGATGGTCGCTTCCTCTCTCCTGATTCCCAGTTTTGGGTAGGACCACCCTACTTTCACCCTCGGCTGCAATTATAGCAAGGCTACCTGGATCATTTCTAGGTCCCACGATGACGGGCCTATGACAAAATGGACACAGGGAAGAGGTCTCTCTGAATGACGGTATACATCAGCACCATAGACATCAGCACGCTCAGCCTACCACAGTGACAAGGACTGCCTTTCGCCTTCTTCTCCGAAGCTATTCTTTAGCTGCCTCAGGAACCAAGGACAGAGGCCAGATACTTACGAACCAGGCACCAGGGATGAAAGCCAAAATGTATATACAAAGACTTTAAAACATTCGTGGAAACATGAAATTCATGTACAGGGTTATTTTGGTGGGGGAAAAAAAAAGCTCACTCCATGCATAATTTTCTCATAATATGCATATTTTAAAGCTTATGGAAAATATAATGTTATGAAAAAACTATACATGGATTTCAATTTTTTGGTACCAAAATAAACTCACACTTGAATTCCATTTCTTCCTTTTGAAATCCTCCCCTATATCATAATATCGCAGTGAGCAAAAAGTAAACTATCATATTGAAAAAACTGGAAGCCAAAGTTATTGTTCGTGATTCCAACCCTCCTTAGTACAAAGATT